TTTATTATTTCAGAAAGGCAAGGGAATCACTTGATCCATGGTGATTTACTCCAGGTATAAAAAATATAAACAGATGACTATTAATCTATTTTGACTTTATTCTGACTGAAAGCGCGGGCGTGGTTTGTGATCTGTGCGGAATTTCGATATTCCACCCATTTAATCTCCAGAAATTTCAGCCCTCGCTTATCAAGTTTCAGCAAAATCCGGTGGGAATAGAATGACGACCCCTTGACTATAGTATGGCTATTATGACCAGTGACGTCACCCAGTCCATTTGACGGCTCGTTTGTAACCGCCCTTATTTTGGATGAAGGCTGAAATCCGATTAATCGCGCTTAGTGTCTATCCAGAACAAGATCACTGCATATTAATGTAATCTGAACGCATTCAAAGGGCTTTTTGTTTTATTTTTTTGTTCGTATAAAGAACAAAAAATCACGGACGAATCGACGTACGGGAAACTGTAATTTACTAGGCCTGTGATGTTAGACAATTTAACAAAAACCTATTTAATTTTACTTTATATTTGTTCCCACTGCTGGGACCTGGTACGGGACCTTTGGTAAGCAACGCTAGTGGGACTTTTGGGACTGAGATTATAATGTTACGTTTTAAAAATATTAGGGTTCCACCAAAACTTATGATTAATAGAAGTACTAGCTTCTACTTCTACACATATAAATTAAAAACTAATAGTAATTAGGTAGTGAGAATAAATATTTGTTAGGTCTAAAATACAAATTATATAAAGATATTCTCTGAATACAAACACCTCTCTCAAATATCACGTCACGTCTCAATTTCAACTCCGCACAAAGCTCAACAATGCGCGTGCGCAGCCAATCGCGAGTAAAAAGCTGCCAAACAATGCGATCCGGTAATGCACGGTGCGCGCGCGCCGGGGCGGCATCGGAGCGACCACGCCCTGCCGAAACCCCGCCCATAAAGCTCGTCGCGTGATTTATGAGCACATTTTTTAAATAATACATAATAATGTAAATCCGCGCATTGAGCTTTCTTTATTGATTTTTTGCTGACGGTACGTCTTAAGAGACATCTTAAGAGATGCCCGGGGATTGATGGCTTGTTGATTTGTTGGGCTTTGTGTTTTTTAGTTCGACCATAGTTTAGTCTTAAACGCACGTAATTGTCCCATTTATAAAGTAGTATAAAAGTTGTGTTCGGTTCAGTGATAAGTTGTAAGCTTTCATTACGAAAAAGGACTGTTGTTTAAGGCTATGAAGATACATTTACAGAATACTAAGTAAGAGCAAGAAAAACGATCAAAAAGTGAATTACTTTAAGATTCAATGTCTTCAACAAAGATAAAGTATCGTCTAAATTGGGGACCTACATATTAAAGTAAACACTAGATCTAAATAACACCTTTCAAATATAAAGCCTTAGTACTTTTAAGACATAATATATACTTAAAACCCAAATAAATACTAATAGGTATTTAGTTAGGTAACAAATTGTGCACCAGTCCATAAAAAAAAACCATTTAACCAAGACTAATCTATAGATATATATATTTCTATTATACATATATAGATTTAAGCCATATTTGTAATAAAAATAACTTTAATAATTTATTTAAATAACTAGCTTGATATATTTTAAAGAAAAGAACAGACAGGTGTGAGGCTCATTTGATTGAAGGATGTTAAAACTCGGAAATCCACAGATAGAGATTTGGAACGCAAATAATCTTTACTGCTTTTATCTGTGGACGATAGTTCGGAACCCGGACGAAATCTCGATATTCCTTCTACCCAATTATAAATTCCCAGGCGAAGTCCAACATGTGTTATAGAAGTTATGATATGAATAACACTTTTTGGGGATTGAACTTACATTCTACATTGATTCGCTAAAATTAGACCAACGAATGAATGCATTCTTTTATAGTGTAAACTTGGCAAAAGAAAGTCTAAAAACTTTATTAATTTTTACATGTTATTGCACATGAAGGCACTATATAATTTAAACATCGAAAATAACTCGACTCGGACTCGGTAGCTCAATTGGTAGAGCAACGGCACGGAACGCGAACGATGCCGGTTCAAGTCCTGCCTTTCGATTTTTAAATTAAAAAGAAATTCCGTTTACCAAAAATGCCAAGTTAGAAAAAATACACTTAATAAAATCCTACTTTATTTTTGGTTTTCCAAGTCTGGTCTGTTGTCTGAGAATATTAATTGTATAAGCGGTCCAAAAGCGATCAATTAAAGCCATCGTTACATAATATAAAAGGAGTCCAAATTAATCAACCGATATAAAATGGAAGTTAATTAAAATACTGACGTCCTGCATGCACCCGTAGAAAACACGCAAGATTTTAAACTGTATTTTTTAATACTTAAGGCTCATTTCGCATTGACGTTCTCTTGGTGTATGATACAAAATGTCGATGACCTAAGCACACCTGGCGCTAACCGCAATCCGACAAGTACTGACGTAGGTATATGTTTTAACTGCAGAGTTAATCCGTGAGATAATATTGAATGAAATCAATGAATGGAAATCGTAGATCGATTACTTACCATAGGAGGAAATGCTGAATTCAACCTACAAACGAGATTCATATTTGATGAATATTGAAGTGTATTAAGATGGAATAAAATTAAAATGTGACAGGCTTGTTGGTATAATTTAAATAAAACACGTTAACGGTTTAATACGCGATATAATAGCTTGCAGCGGGGAGACTCCCCGTGACCACGGCTGCTGCAAAGCATCCGAAACGTCGGGCCGAAGTTAAAAGTCATTTTCAAATAATTAATATATCGCGTTTAAAACCGTTAAAGTGTTTTATTTAAATGTATAGTACTCGCGTAAACGATAGTCAGTATTTCACAACTTTTAATATTAGCAAAATTTATAGACTGAGAGGATTGTTTTATAATAATGCAAAAAATACGCTCTAATGGTAGCAATGTATGACAAATTATAATTTTTTAACAGGCAAAAGTTGATCAGACTTCTGTGCCCGGCCCGACCGAAACAATTTTATGTTTCCCTGGGATTCGAACCCAGGACCTCGCTTAACGCACGTTTAACCATTTGGCTACAGAGGCGGAATATTAAATGGGTGGCATTAATATCGAAAATCCGTCCGGTTCACGTCCCGACGCAGATGAATTTTAATCGCTTTTCGGTTTCTGTTTGGGGATTTCCGAATATCCAAAGCCAAAATAGGTAAACAGCGCATTTTAGATGTTACCGGGCTGGGGTACTTCACCTTCGATCAAGTGAACACCGTGCGTGTCTCCTCGTTTATAACAAAACTGACAGGTTTAATTTAATAATTACTTTTCACAATAAGGGTGTATGTGTTTTGTGTTCTCTTACTTAAGGTTTGCTTGTTAGCGATAAAACCTCATTCAAGTATAAAATATTGTTTGCATTGTTCTTATATATCTTAGAAAGTCTCAAACAATTAAACTAAATACGTTAGTTTGCCTCATCGGGTAGGTAGTATAGAGTTTAAAATATCCTTATGAATTACAGACAACAGAGAAAAATATAAAATGACAGATTATGGCAACAAGATTGTGTTTGGCTTTACGTAGCCTTTTATTTAATTTATAAAGTTACTGTAATATATAATAAAACTACCTAAGATTTTAGATGTTACTAAGGACGTTTATTACGTAACTAGCTGTGAACGCGACTTCGTCCGTGTCAAATAGTTACTTTGGACACAAAAAAATATTTTTTTTGCCAACAACCTCCTCATCTGTATAAATTACAGTATTCATAAAAATGGACGTACACTGTGTCATATTTTGTTAGATCATTTATATATTATATTTTTTAGGGTATGGTCTATATAACACAGAAAGAATTTCTTCAAATTAAAGCAGGACTGTCTGAGATTAGCGAGTTCAAAAAAACACCATGTGTAAGCATAATGCATTTAGTGCAATTCTCGAGTCCGGCTCACAGAATTATTAATATTTCACTAAAATAATTAGATGATAACAATGTCTAGTTAATTTTAATCAATCATGATAGTGATTAAAGTGACACAACAACATAATAACTTAAATTAGAGTATTTTCGTGATTAATTTCTTATTACAAACGAAGGCGATCTTTTTATCCAGGATAGGTAGTATATTTATTGTCATAAAATACAATGTAGGTCATTCAAGTAAGAAACAAAATATTATAAATATATTCTATACATGTGAATAAAACACTTTTAATGGTTTAAAACCGTTAATTTTTTTTTATTTAAATGTGTGCAACTCGCGTAAACTATGGGCAATGCTTATCAATTATATAAGTAGTGAGTGTATAAGAACTCAATAAATATTGTATCATTTTGTATTATAATCTATTGCAAAACTTATAAAAAATATCATTATTATAGACTTTGTTATGTCAAACTCGGTGTATAAAAAAATATTTAAGGCCTCATCAAACGCACAAAGGTCCGCATAGTACGTGTTATCAAAAATCATTAGAGCAGATGCGAAAAATAAAAAAAGAACAGGTAGCGTCAAAAATACGTTGGAATCAGGTGCGCGAAGCGAAGGCTCTGCTCGTGTGACGGGCGGCGCGCGAGCTGCAGGTGCCGCCTTTGGAGGGGGTACGTTACTCAACGTCTTACAATCCAGATCGTGCGCAGCTTCACACCGTACTCCCAAGACATAAGATCGATAATCGCCTACACCAAATGCAAATACCACGGTAGGGCCTTACTCCTCTCCTTTTTATCGAACAAAAAATGAACTGTAAACGCGATCACGGCGAAGGTCAATGTTAGCGCTTCCTTCAGTGCACGTTCAGAAAAGATCGCGCGCGCATCACGCGCACCGCCCTACCGGTAACGCGCTAAATAGGTTGAATGAACCTTACCGAAATCGATGAGGCGATTAATCCTGCTCGAAGGACCATCGATCACAGGATAAGATCCCCGAATTAATTGTGAACGGTGATCGCTCTTTTGTGACAAGGACTCGTAATATTAAGGACATATGTGCTAAGATGGAGACGTTGGTGCTGATCCCTCAAGAGTTGAGCCTGGCGCTTCGTCCGGGTGGTGCTAGAGGTCGGGAGGCGTCTGTCAGTGTTTGGACGTCCACTGAAATTCAGAGGGGTGCGCTGTTGTACCCGTTCCAGGGGACGATAAGGATTGATAAGCTGCATGTCTATTCCTATGTGCCTGATCATGATGTGAGTAATACATATATATTTATTGGTATCTGAATATGGAAACAGAAAAAAATAATAACACGATACATGTTATTATTTTTTCTGTCTGTAGACAGAGAGATAACGTTATCAAATGACGTAAGGATAGAAAGCTCTAGAGAAATATTTTATTTTTATTGAATATTTAACATATTTTATTTTTATTATATATAAAATAAACATAAAAATATTTAAGAAACTGACATTTTTAAATATCACCAGTCAAATTTTATTTTGTAAATAAAGCAATTGTGCCGCTTTAACGCGTTTTAAACGGGTAAAATGGTTTTATTAAATTTATACTATTCGCGTAAACTACAAACTAAATGTTAATATTTTTTATTTAATCGTTAAAAATGGCGTATTACATTTTTTTAACTATTGTTATGTGTATAAATATCATAATTAAATTTTAATAGTGATTAAAAATATTAGTAAGATACCAAATCGTTTTATTATCTAAATCAAATCAGTCGCTAAATATTTTGAGACTCACCGACCTACCTTTAATGATTTTTTAGGAATCAATATTAAAATAAAAGAATATCCCCAGATAAGAATCACACAGTAGCAATTAATAAATTCCGTTTTAATAACAAATGCATATGCCATTTTATTTAACGCATTTATTGCATAACAAATGGCCAGTGACTCACGAGCATACAAAAAAATTAATGTCCTTGTCCCATTTAGGAAATAAAGTGGATTAGGATGCGATGCAAATGAACCGAGCGATATATCAACATTTATGAATAATTTGTCCGATAATATTATTATCAGTGCAACTGTTTTAATCAATCTGTGAAGTGACCTAATTTTGATTTCAAAACAAGAGATTGAATGCACCACCTCTTTGTAATGAAATCTATTGATTACAATCAATTAGACATACTGGTAGACTTTTAGATTAGATTAAGATGTCTATATCTAGATTAATGATTATAGATAAATGTTCTTCGCATTTATATTAAATCTTTATAAATAAATAAGTGATAGATATCACTTTTAAATATGTATTTAGTGTCTTGTTCAATAATTATAACATATTATATAATAGTAATGTAATTAATAATATGATATATATTTTATAAGGCACTAACTACACCAATAAACGTACTGCCTAGAAGTTCGTTAAGAGCGAGTTCCTGGGTTCGAATCCCAGGGAAACAAAAAATTGTTTCGGTCCGATAGGGCACAGAAGTCTGGTCAACTACTTGCCTGTTAAAGAACGGAACAGTGAAACGGACACAGACCCCATTCGCCCCATGCCCCACGAGGGGGCAAATGGAATTTCACACACAAATATACCAAAATATACAGATATTTAAATTATGACACTGTACCTATACAAAACACTTTTAACGGTTTAAAACGCGAAATATATTAGGTTAACTTATTTACAATTCATTGCAATTACGGCCCGATGTTCTGGATACAAAATTCGCTTTTTAAATTGTTTTATTTAAATGTGTACTACGCGCATAAACTACAGACAGTACTCATGATATCTATAGATAGTATTCCGAGACAAAACACCTATAGTACTTAAAATATTTTCCTAAGTAACAAAACAGTTCAAAAACATACAACCCACATTTTACATCATAGGGGAGTTAATATATTCACCCTTCGGTATATACATGTCAGGTGTATTAAGAATGACAAGCTTTTAATTTACAGAATTGTGGAGCACGATATCTAAACATATTGCAGGGCATTGCGTTAGACATTTGAGGTCTTGGATTCAAATCCTCAATAAATTCTTTCGAACACACATACCTTATCAAGTACTTGTCTGTACATGAACTTTGGAACTCTCTCCCTACTAATATTAGAAAAGCTCAATCTCTCCGTTGTTTTAAGACTTTACTTTATAAATATGATCTTTCCAACTCTTAAATTAGTTTCTATGTATACTTTTACGAAGTATCTTTGCTTTTTGTTTATAATTTCTTACACATTAATAAGCTTTTTTTAATTCTTCTCTCCTGTACTCTAGGTTGCCTGAAAGAAATTACTACTTAGCGATAAGGCCGTATTACATTTATAAATTAGTACGTAAATTTTTATGTTTTGTATGTAGTATGAATAATAAAGCTGTAATAATTAAATAAATACAATACATTGTATCAGTGAAACCTACATAGCAATGTCCCCACGGGACAAATGGGACTTTTCTTATATGTGGAAGGAAATATATCTCTATCTATTAATGATTTAATAACCAGCGTGTGAACTTAAACACACCGTAGAACCACATAATTTTAAAATATCACTTGTCTAATTAATCAATTTCCGATTGACATAATTCGTGTCATATTATTGCAGTTTTTGTTGTAAAGGAAATGAGTCACTGATTTTAAAATGTCCGAACGTGTATATCGATCCGATTAGTCTTAAGTTATTGCTGTGTTAGATTTAGGGTTCCTTAGTCCATGATTAACAAACGTGTAATAAGTTAACTGAAGATTTAGAACGGTCTTTTGGTAGGTAGGTAAAAGGTAGGCAGATACATTTTTGTATCTGTTTCATTATTGATTTTTTTTTATATTCAAGTGGCGGATTAGATTGTTTTAATTATGTTATTCTTGGATAGGAACTTAAGACTCGCTTCAGAATCTTACACGTCGCCTTGCATTGCGTTAAACGGAAAATGACATAGATTTGACACATGATAATTTTATTCAACTGTTATTTAATTTGGGGACCAAAATTGCGAGTATGTAGTAAGGGTGTCTTTTGAATAAAATATTAATTAAATGAAATATTGACGCAAGAACAGATATTATAATAACATCTAGAAGAAAATTACAGCGACAAGCCACGTCATTCAACAAATGTTTGTTTGCATCACTTTCGATTTTTTCATTTTAATTATCAATAGTCGTAATACAAGCCGCATTGTGGAAAAACGATATTGCTTAATCAAATCTATTGAATATTAAAAAGAAGGACGATGCAATATTACATAAAGAGAACGACAGACAGGAAGATAGAATGAAGAAAATATTCTTTTATTTAATAACAAGTTTCAAGACGTTATTACTTTGATTACTTAGGCTTATCTATTAAATATTAAACTTATTACACACTATAGAGTAATTCTATGCGTAAAAATGTATTTTTTTAACACTAGATATAATTAAAAGGTACAAACACAAGTCTATGTTTGCTCGCTATAAAAATAATACACAAATAGGTGTTATAATTATAATTTAAGTTTTTTTTGGTAATATATACTAATATTATATTGTTCTTACGTAGTATAGTGGTCAGTATCCCCGCCTATCACGCGGGAGACCAGGGTTCAATTTCCCGCCGGAGAGCCATAAATGTAATTGTTTTGTAGTTTGTAACGATAATCTTCAAAATCATGTAACTAATTTTAACTTAAAACATTACTAGAAAATAGTACGGTGTAAGTATTATTTTCTTGTGAGGGCTTTTTGTTTATATACGTACAAAGCTGCGGGCACCAACTAGTATTCAATCTAGTACAAAAAGGCAATTTTCGTCTACCGCAAACGGATCGATCTCAATAGTTAGAACTCACGTAGACCCTCGGTTTGAGATAGTTTTTATCACCAATCACAGAATTACACTGTTGGCAAAACCGCATGATTGTTTCAAAGTTGAGATTCGATTGTTTTATTTTGTTTGTTTAACAATTTCAATATCATAGTTGAGCAGTTGCTCTTTCTTATATCTACATATTTATTTAGGAAAAATAACAAAAACTCCCAGATGTTAGATGTAATACGAAGGGTAACAGACAATAAAGTAATGATGAGCTATTGAAAAGTAAAGTAAATAGTTCCTTATGAATATCTACACGTGTACTGTCTATCGTTTACAACTTTGACCCGACGTTAAAAATCATTTTCAAATAAGTTAAACTAATTTAACTTTACCAACTAACTTTACTAACTAACTTTACTAAATTATTATTTGAGTAACATTCTCATTTTACTAAAATTTAAAGAAAAAGTCAAGCCGTTATGGCACAGCTTATATTTAGAATTCACTCGTAACTATAATATATGGTGATAGGCATTTATTTAGAGGGCCGAGTGGCATGCTTTAGGAGAGGCCTACGTCCAGTAGTGGACCCAAACGGGCTGATAATGATGAAATGATGAAGCATTTAGACTTTTGTGTATTGCCAGACCGGACCAGAAGTGAAAAACGTCCGTTGGATACGGTCCATACGGTACATGGATTCAAATCTCAACAAGTTGGTTTTTAATTCCCTTAACTTATCATGTCACCCTTAACTGCCTCACTAACAAAGTAATATATCAATGAAGCGAACAGCTTAAAGAAAAATCCATTACATATCCGGAATTCGATCCCACGACCTTCTGCTTCCATTCCGTGGCACTAACAAACATACTATTAATAGTTAAACGCCATTAGTTATAATGTTAGGTGCTATTGGACAAGCGGAAGCACATAACTTTCACCAAAATGAACTGGTTTAAATATCGCGGGCTTCAGTATGGTAATTACGAACGTATGTATGTATATATGAATAGAAGAAGTTAGGAAAGTACAAGGTAAGTATTGTCTGTAATTTACGCTAGTAGTACACAATTTAATAAGTCACTTTGTAATGTTTAAATCGCCGTGGTCACATAGGGCGACTACTGCAACGCATCCGGAACGTCGAGCCGTATTTAAAATACATTGTAAATGAGTTAACTAATATATTTCGCGTTTCAAACCGTTGACAATGCGAAATATATACTGAAGGTTATTATTAAAATATTAAAGTAAGATCCACTTGAAACAACTTTTAATTACATACACTGCCGCACATACAATGCCTAGCAATATAGGTATAAGACTAAGTGATATCTATTGAAAACCTAGCTAACTGCGCCGTACTAAAAAGTTCTCTATCTAACGACTAAAAATTTTATTACAGTTTTTTATTAATATATTTCAAAGTCCAAACGACATTCATTCTTTTAAACATTACCTTTTAATATATTTTGCGTAAAAAATTGAGCAAA